CTAAGTAAGAGTGTTAACTTTTGGCAACTTCAAATGAGTCGCAGTCCTCTGGTGAACAGTAAAGAAACTAAAGTCCCCTGTCTCTACCTGTATGTCTTGATAACACACGTTTGATTTGAGAATCCGTTTGATAGAAACATAACATAATATATAATATAAATATATATATACTATATAATATATATATATATATATATATATATAATACGTATTAACTAATATATAATAATAGTATCTATAAGTACTATATATAATAATCAGTTCCAAATATATCACTTTAAATTTAAGCCATTTTAAATAAAACTTTCATTATTTTACACAGAAAAGGGGCTTTGGTGTATTAGCGCATATCATTGAACATATAAGAGAACATAAAAATAGAAGCAAGCAAAACTAAATTCAAGGAACTTTAAATAGGATAGGCTTAGACAATCTGCGCAATTTAAGAACAAATTAAAAGTTATTTGGTTTTATGTTCTGTATGCGCCTTAGTAACACATTTTTGCCTTTGCTAATTCTTCATTGCAACTGCTAAGAAATCTTACCCACACCTGTAAGCAAAATGTCGACATTGGCGACATATTTACCAATTGTCAAAATCACCTCAATTAGCATACACGGACAGAGGCAAAATGCAAATTCCTGTCTGCAGATGTTTGATCTGACATTAAAAGGCTTTAAGGGATATATGTTTGCATCATTTACACCGAAGAGGGAGACAGGATATTTGTCAACACTGTTAACTTTAAATTATGCATTCATAATGTAAATATATGCCTATTTTAGTCAGTATAAAGCATAAGACGAGACATCTTGGTAGATTATTCTCTTTTAAATTACTCAACTGTTGAACGCCATTATTAATTCATGAACAGTAAACACCAAGTGTGTTTTTAGTTTTAACAGAATATTGTGTATTTAGAGGTAAAAATAATGTTATACCAAATTCAAGTAGCGCATTTACATGACATTAACTGTTTTTCAGACCTGGTTATGATCATATTGTGTATTCTGGTCAATTATATCACATGTTAAACACAACATATGCCTGTGCCAGCCACACCAGGGGCCATAGGTCCCAGAGCTTCCAAAATAGCTCAAACTAAACTAAGTAAACTAACAAATCCGCCAAAACTGCACTACCAGATTGTCCATCCTCAAAAGGAGCAACAATAAAGAAATAAAAGAAGATAAAGAATAAAATCCTAATCTCATGACTGAGCGTTGCGGTGTCTCGCAGCAAAACAACAGAGAGTGATCTTTCTTCTTCAACCTTTCTTAAGTATCAGTGATGCTGGCGAAGTCCAAATCAGATCAGGAGCACCTGGTCTAAAGGTACAAAGCGTTGAAAAATACTAAACACTACACTTTACATTTACTAACTCTTGAGAACTTAACAACTCATTTATTCTCCGTTGCGATTGCCCAACGAGATTAGAATAACATTGCCATGGTAACCTTTTTGGGTACACACTCTACGTACTAAGCTATTACTGAAAGTAGCTAATTGATAAAGCTGCGCATCTTTTTCATTAGGTAAGACAAAACTCAATTTCTTTGTCGCTCCATTGTTTTTTTTCCTGTTGAACCACGTGGCTAAACCCTAATTTTATGGTAAACATGCAACAGTACCCCGATTTATTCCTCTAAATGGCATACTCCGGTTTCCTCAATAAACAGGCAAAGGGCTTATTCCAGTTTCTGAAAACAGGATGTGTTTTTAACATAAACAGGACACTGGGAAAACACAATTATACACAAGTTATTCATGTCTATGTAAACACAATCTATGTTCTGAACATCAAATGCTCCCCCCTGCAGGCTTGAAAGGCACCTTCTGAAAAACATGTAACTTTCTCTTTTGCAAAGAATGAATTCATTGCTTTCACAATGATTTCCAAAACCGATTCCCAGTTTCAAGGCAAAAAAACGTCTCATACCTCCTCTGTGGCGTATAATACACTTGTACTCGGTCAATTTGTACGTTTGGTATTCATGCCCTTTTCTCTTTTATTTAACCAGGTAAAGGGCTTATTCAGAATGAAATTGCCTTTTCTAGAAAGGCCATGAAAACTGTTGAACATAACACAAAAGACAATAACAAGTGTCCACAGATTGACATGAGTTTTTTTTATGTATCTAAAAGGCCAAAGTCACGTTTGTTTAATACAGAGATTCCATTTGTAGTTAGCATAATAAATAAAAAGCCTAAAGGGGATGTTTCATTACATTTGAAATAATTCATTATATTCTGACCTGTAATCTTGCATCATAACTGTATAGAGAGATACAGTCTCTCTCAGACGCAGTAGCAGAGCAGATCTTCTGTAAGATATGGACTCCTACTGTGTCTGAGGTTGAATTTGCACCAAAAAGCCATTACCTATCACAGCCTACCGGTCATGCCTATTCCCAGCGGGTGCAGCGATTTACTGTGACCTGGAGGTGCATAGCCGCGGGAAGTCATTGTACTTAGGGGGTGCGGTAAATTGTCAACGGGGTGGTGCTTGTGAATTGTCAACGGGGGGAGGCGGGGTGCTTGTGAATTGCCAAGG